TTTGCACTGACAGCGGAATCGGTCTTTTAAATATGAAAAGGTAATCTAACACAAAAACAATTTCCACAGCTTGCTTTTAGTAGGTAGACTAACCCAGTAATTGTAGACTGAAATTACGAGATGCAATGTCGTTATCAAAGGTTAGTAAATTATGGTTGTAGCAGTACTCGTAATGCAGCATAACTCTGATTTTGGAAACAATGTCTTTTCGGTTGCATGTAAAAATAATACTCTGTAAAATGACCACTAGCGTAGCGTGCAATTGTCTTGTTAATTTGGAATGTCCTTTAAAGTTCAATTATATTTCATGGAGAATAAGCATTAAAATGTTCACTTACGGTCGTTTGGTATAAAATGATGTCTTTTTCCAATTGCATGCTCGAAAGAAGGGTATAATCTGATTTTCAAAGGCTTCTTATTGTGCGACTTATCGTGGAACGTCTGATGGAAAAGCGTCATATCTCTGCACTTGCCAATGTCGCCTGGAAGTTAAAAATATGGCTCAAACAAACTGCTGAATTTAATGAAACCCATATAGCCTACTCAATATATCGCACAGAAATGTATGGCTTATCGTATACGGAAAAGGTACGGCTTGTTTTTTGAAACCGAATGCATATGAAAAGGCAGGTCGTGTGTAAAATTATTCAAAATTTACGAAAGTTCTCAAATACCAAATTATACCCTCCCTTGAGTATAAAATTGCCAAAAAATGTTATTTTCTGTCAAAAGAGCAAAAACATAAAAATTGTTAGGCGTGTTTTACATGAAATTTAGTGATATTTATCTTGAAATGTCTCATCTTGTTTCGCAGTCGCGAAGAAGGAGGAATGATCCAAGCCTCTTGCACAGATATATTCCCCACCCTTTGATATTCAAGCAGATCTGGCTAGCCTTAAGCGGCCAGATGCTCATCGTAAAGTGAAAGAATTGTATGCGTCAGTCATTGCGCTAAAAGCGAAATTGGTTTTCATGCTAATCGAACGCACTCGTTCACAATAGCGTAACACGCAAAAAAATCTTTCCGGACATTTGTATAAATGCATGTTAAGTTAGTCGCTTTGGCAAGCGACCAGCATACGTAAAGATTTTACATTCTGCTTATTACATGAAATGTTGAAAATTTATTTATGGCCTCAGCAAACGGATCAGCCTTAATTTGATTTTTGTGGTGGGTGAGAGGGGAGATTTATGTTTCCCTCGTTAGCTTCCTTATGTACGCTACAAAAACAGTATCGGCTGGTCGATTGCTTCCATGTGTTGCGAAGAATCTCAAGTATAACTGTTATCAATGATTTACGGATTATGATTGTGAATCTGTCTGATTTTGAGCGCTGCAGGGCACGTCTGCTTAAATTTAAGGTTTTGTACGATCATTATTATATGTCTTTGATGGTCGTTAATATATCCTCGACCATAATTATCGACATACCCTACTGGGAAATCTACACAAGTGAGCCCAATACACTTCGACTGTCGAAGTTCGTGCCGGATTATATCCGAGAGGCCCAGATACCTTTTACTTACGAGGTGGCTTTTCGTGGATTAAAGGACTTCCTTTCAGCCCATTTAGAAAAAATCCTGTTCCACGCCTTCAGAACCTCCAATGGGGCCTCCTACGAAACTTAAACAGTAACTTGTCCTTCGTGCATTGATGGGTCATCAAACGCAAATCATAATTTTTTTAGCAATGGTGAAGTTAAAACATTATTTTGCTTTAAAAAACAAAAGAATATATTATGCTATTCGAGTCTTATTGGTCTGCCATTTATTTCGAATACTGGTTTTATACTCCTTTCTATCGATGATTGATTTGCGAAGTGTAGTTAAAACTGTGTGGACACTGGACCACATTTAATATCCTCTGAAGACTCTACCTCTGCCGTTCTATTTCGAAACCCTGGTTGTTTGAAATGCAAATCCATCAAAAGTCATTTTGACCGCAGATGTCTAGTGAGCACTGTTCCAATATAAAATTATACTCGGAGCAATTCAAAGCAGCACCTTTGTCGGAAACATCTATCAAGAATTCTGACTTGCCACTGGTCTGTCATGGGGTTCCATTTACCCTCAATCTGCCATTCATATTAACCCTCAAAGAGGAACTTAGGCCTTTGATATTACTTTTTAATTTGCCGCATGTCACGGCCATTCGTTTATGGAGGGCGTCCAAAAAGTCGACCCTAGGATTTTCACTTTTTGTCTTTGCAGTCTAAATAAGAATTGTATTGCTTGGTAAGCTTTACTACGTTGAAAATGACATGGTTGATTCCATTACGTTAAGAGTGAAATATTCTGGAGATATCTGGGCCAAAACCATTAACCAAAACGGAAAAACCTCCTGATATTCATAAGCTATTAACAGGCAGCCAGGATTATGTGCAAAAGGTGTTGATATACCACATTTAGCGGCATGACATGACCTGGTTAAGATGGGTGTGCTTATCAAGCATTTTTTGTGTACTTATGTCTTGATCGGCAATAACCGTTATCGTAGAATAGATCGGTATATTTAAGACTTACGTATTTAGACCGACATGCGATATGAATATTAAGATCGATGTCTATCAGCCGCTGATTAGATACACGCCTCGCAGCCTGCCATGCGACGCGGAATATGGGTGTTCTCGCAAATGGAATGTGCTGAAAGGTTTGGCATATCCTGCAACTTATTGATTATTTTGGAAAGGAGTTAACTCTGGTTTCGGATGAAGCGCATTAGGGAGTCATTGGTAAAATAATTTTTCTAAGAACAAATGTTTTGTCTGCACCTTGCAGCAGATACGCAGAATGTCGTTGGTGAAATACGCACGTACTGTCTACTGTGATTGAGGAACGCACTCCATCTAAGATTGCTCGGTCATGAGAGACACAGAGTCATTCCTGGCAAATATATAGAATCGCGCATCGAGGCCGCCAAAAGCCAGCCGATCTATCTGCATTTGCGGTTGCGAAGTTCAGCTTTTCGAAGTTCCTGCACCCTCTTCGGCGACGCTTAAATCAGCATACAACGGCCGACCACTCAGTTTTTCGGATACGGTTTTTGCTCGTATCCATAATCGGCCGAATGCTGATTCCGACCTCTAGGCAACTTTTATTTAGAACGATGCGATTGATCTAACAATTGCTTTGGAAACCATTCGCCTCGTCAAAGTTTACGAAGGCTGTAAATAGAGAGATAACGGTCCGACCCCACCATCAAAACTGACAGCCTTTTAACATGAAAAGTGTGCTAAAGGATAACAGCTTGGAAAACGTTTCAAAACTGTAAATATTGGAAGGCGAAATTACCATTCTTAACGTCAGAGTCGGAGTAGTGGTTTACTACCAAACATGATTGTTGTTTACCGATTGACATTGTAAATTTGTGAATTCAAGGTTGCCTTCAGTTTCTCACATAGATTAATCCGCATCGTTGACTGCTGCAAACACATTCTTCAGTGTATAGTTTCCGAGGCATCTTTGAGAAAAGGAGACCGGAGATTCATAGGCTATATGGGTCGCGGGGAGAAGCAGGGTTTTCGCGCGCAAGCCATCCGTTTTAGTCTGATTCTGTTATGGTGCACTCGGTGGAATTCACTAAAAACGCAATTTGACCAGTGGGGCAGTACTGTTTAAAATGGTGCTGAATTTAAATTTCCAATGAAGGACTGATTTTCATCATTGCATTTTCTACAGAAAAATGTGTCATTAGTAATTATTATAATTTAGTCTACTATCCCAAGATGTTTCCAAAACATCCATAAATAAAGATCACTCTATCCGGCACCTTTTTATTGTACTTACTGTACTCTAAGGCCCCAAAAAACTTGGTAGCTTGCGCGTGCATTGACGTGGGATGACGGCTGACTTACACGAAACCCTGTCGCGCTCGCTTTTTTTTCTTACTCTTCTAAGACCGGTGGCAAAGCAAACGCCGCACCACTGAAGGAGGCCTTGGTCTCAGTGTCTGACAAGGTTAAATATGCAGATTTGCGTCCCTCTCTCGACCTTGTCTCCGAACATGCATATATTTTAAACCCATGCTGGAAAGAGACCGCATTTTTCAAAAAATCCATAAGAAGCGAGTGGATTTTACGTTGTTAATATAACATATTACAAAATTCACTCACTTGTCAAATATCAATGAGAATGTGTTCATTTGGCCGTATTTTTTATCGGCATGTCGAGATTCTTCGCTCATAGTACGTATTACTAGAACTTATCACTTTCGCCATATGTGGCTCCGTCACACATAATTCACGCATTGCATTCATTGGCTAAGACTCTTTTCTAACTTTATTCAGGTTTAGTGCATTAGACGCAGCTGACATTTTACAGTTAACGCAATGTGGACGGCGGCTTTTAGTCACTTGTTCATCGTCTACCATACTGTCGCCTTTGTTGGCTCAATGCAAGGTATGGCTCTTGTATTTCGGACACACAAGCAAGAAACGGACACCATTGGTTGCTGATAATTTGACTTTTCACATTATTGCATAAAAATATGCAATGGCGGGAAATGTCAGATGTCATTGTTTGTAAAGTAAAAGCAATTTTCATTTCAGCGAAAACTGTTTGAACGCACTGCGTTTTAGACTTTACATAACTTTTTACTTCAAATTAAACACCTCATAGACGTCCCAATCAAAACTGCATTTATTTAAACAACACATAACGCAGTATTACCAAAGCATGCCTTTCCAATTTGTTGCAACTTCTTAAACGACTTAAGATAACCGGTTTATTTGCTATGTGCGCTTGCAAATACGGTCTTTTAAATTTCCTCTTTAAAATCTCTCTTTGCACTTGTATACCATGCAAAGAATGGACGACCGCAATCCCGAAACTTCGAAGACTGTAGTGAGATCCAGTTGAAAACAAATTTTGCCAACACATTCGATTATCTGCTAAGCAAACTGACGACTATCGAAATACCTGCCTCCCAAAATGGATTTCAGAACTGGAAATGCTCCATCAGGTTTGACGGATTTGGACGCACTGCGGAATGTCAAACCTACATGTCCAGTTCACCAAACAAATACAACGTGTTTTGCAACGTTACATTTCCCCGAATCGCACTCGATTTCTCGCACACTGTAAGTCATGTCCATTTGCATCTAGCAGCTGGATAAGTTAAAAATTCCTAGCCGCAATTCCGACGGTTTTTTCGATTTGAGAGAACACTTGGATAGGCTTTTAATATTAATTATCGTGCAGCGTAACCTCAAAACGCTTATTTAATGCCTGTACGGCAGCTTGAAATATGTCTTAGTGCAAACATATGCAAACACATTATTTCTTACACGTGCTTAATAGAAAACCACGTTTTTCTAGGTTTTATACTTGAGGCGAGTGTAGATATGAGGTTGCACTACGACTGCACTCTTTGTACTTATTATGTAGGAAAAGTAATAAATTCTCAATTTTTTGTAAGACGTCGTCATTAAGGATTTATGTGATTTTGTCGTCGCCGCGTACTCTGATTGCTTTTTAAGCTGCGCTGAAAAGCGTAGAGATACAAACGTTTTTAAAATCTCGAAACCGGTAGACTTTTTGAAACCGAAATATGAGGTTTCTTCAATAGAAACTTATTAAATATATACATAGTACACTACGAAATATTGTACATGTTTTTATGGAATAAGTGCATCGCCCGTAAACGAATAAAACGGTCATTCTGAAAAGAGTGAAACTTTTGGAGAATTCTCGCAGAATCAAACCAAGCAGCGGATATCCTATATTGGCTGACATTTTTTGAGACGAGACTTTGCAATGCTCGGTGTCGCAAGTATTTCTTTCAATTTTTGGGATTTTTTTCAAAGTACGTTAACACTTTGTGAGTAATGGCGGGTGCTTATATCTTACTATAATGGGCACTTAATCATTACATTCGCATATGCCCTTAAATCCACTTCAAGTATTTTTCTTTTGGCGCAGGTAATCCAGTCATAGACTAGATCGAAGTGGTGAAGGATAAGTCAAACATGATGTCTAGGGATATAATAAGCTAATCACTCTTAATGAAAAATCTTAATGCATAACTTTTCTCTTATAACAGTCCTAAGACACTACGTATTTTGGCATATGGTTAAACGCAGCTTATTCTTTCAGCACACCTTCTAAGCAACTCCAAGTTGTGCAGATTAATGTGCATATTTATGTTAGCATTTCTTAATATTCCTTAAATGGACAAAGAGACATTCTAATGTGTCGGTTACCTATGCAAGTTTGTTTGACTTCTAGGCCCACGTCTCAGATTTGAATACCCATAAGGACGCGACCATTAAGAGTTCGGAGCAAATTGGCTTTACCAGCATTGACGTATCTGGCAACGTCCACTTTGAGTTGAGCTACGAGGACCAGATAATTGGCACTGATGTTCTTCGTATGCTTTACGTACTTCCAGATATATTCGAAAAAATATACGTGAGTGTTATGGAGAACAGTCTTATGGTCCGAAAACCGCAGTTGTTTTTGGCGATAGGTCAAGTTCATGCACTTGCTCTTCGTCAGGATATAAACTGGCAGCTCCCCTTTTGTACATATCCCTAGGGTGCTTGTTTAAAAAGATATAATATATGTATATATTTATAAACTACCATTCAACGCCTTTAACTTCTCTGACCGATGGAAAATTCTCAATAAGTTTTCCGCGCAATCAATATGGTTGCTAGATTAGCGCATAGTCCGAGTCAATTAGGCTCCACCAAGTTCACGCCTTCAGTGGCCGTTGCAGAATATCTAGACGCATGCGATACAATCAGTTAGTCTATTGTGCCCCATTACATCAGATGGTGTTCAGCCAACCCGGAGGACGAAGTATGAGTGGAAGGGGCTAGAGTGAAAGAAACAGGGGACGAATCTGGTGACCAAGTTAGTCTGCGCCTTAAACGCATCCGTGGCTTTTAATAATCACCCTCTCAATCATGCTCTTACGATGAGCCAAGAAAAGTGGCATGAATAAGTCCAGAGAATCTCTTTTCAGAAATACGAATTCCTGATTGTTGTTGAGCTCCAATTGACAGATCCTTGAAGTAGCATTGGATGTGTGCTCTAAAAAATCCAGCAACTGACACATAGCTTTAATTTGCCTTTTTGTGAATCCATGCTGTTTGCCTCGATTAAAATGATTTGTCGACTAGGTATATCGTAAGAGAGAAAGTCGGGCATGTGTGTCATCAGACCTTAGAGTTCTCTCTTAGCCTGGTTGATCTACACTTCACCTGCGCAAACCGACCTTTCTTTCCCAATGAGCGTCATCGATTTCGATGGCGATGCGTTGTAACTCGGGCCGCCTTCCCACAATCAGACATTGTGAAATACCGTTCAAAGCATCAGTCCCATACAATAGGAAAGCGGCCATTTTTAGAGGTAGCGCAGATCTTCCCTTGCAAGGAGGACCTTAAAAGCGTTTTGTTAAATATCTCTTTAAAATGAACCGTCGACATTCAACCCAAGGTTAGTGGACGTAAACGTTTACGGTCAAGAGAAACTACAAGCAAGAATACGTACCCGGACAGGTTTACTAAAAAGAATATTGCCAAACGACTGGTAAAACCCGTCACACCGACGGCTGAAAAGAAAACTTCTTTAAAGTCCCTTTCCAATGGGACGCTGCGAGTGAACTCCTAAGGAGACGCCTTGATTAAGCTATTTCGCTCACCTTCCTAGCGGCAAGGGTTCAAGAATCCTTCTCTAAGAACCCTATTTTACGCGGAGAATGTACGGATATGTTGCCACCACAGACCACTTCAATGTGCATCTATTCCTTCACTCGCGTCTGTGAAGCAGATTGCATTGGTCGCACAAGTCGGCGCTTATCCAAGAAAATATGAGATCACCTCCCTCCATTGCTGGGAAAAGGTTAAACTAGGAGCATAAGCAGCGCCATTTACGCGCATTTTGTCGATTCCGGACATCAGGTAGATCCCTATGAAGCGTTTCGTCTGATCCATAAGGTCCAACAGAGCTATTCTTAACCGCGGGGACAATGCCTGTTAGCAACAGCAGAGGCAGCCGCCCCTCCACCACATTCCAACACTCAGCCTGTGTTTTAAGGCGAATTTAAATAGATTTATTTTATCACTAACGTGTTTTTACTTCTTCCCCCCTCCCATATATTTGTACTCGCCCGACGAAAATTTCTCGCAAGCTATGTATGCTCGCCCCCTCTTCTTTTGATAACTGCTATGGACAATTTGCAAATCATATCCGAGTGCGTTATACGAGTCTTCCTCCTTTAAACCGGAAAATGACAGACCGCACGAAATGCGGACATTACTGTCCGCCCGAGATAAACTTCCTTTTTAGGCAGAAATGTCAACAGTCTAGGGGACCTGCTTCTTTGGATATGGGCAGACAGACAAGACCTGTTTTATTAATTTCACCCCCTTCCCATTTATTTATCCTGGCCCGACGAGAATTAGTAAAAAACTGCGTATTCTCGCCACCTCGTCTTCTGATTACTGCTATGGGAATTTTTGCATTTAAAAAAAAAACAAAATAGCATACTTCCTTTTTCATATCCGAGTGCCGTCACGTAGGCCTTCCCCCCTTAAATCGAAACTTGGTAGACCGCGCGAAATGCGGACATATCCGACCGCCCGTGAAAAACTTCATTATAAGGCAAAAAATGTCAACGGTCAGTAGGACCTACTTCTTCGGAAAAGGGCAGACGGACAAGATGAGTGTCACATACAGCTTCTGCTGGACCATCAAGTGTGGAGTGATAAGATGCCGCAGTCGCCGTCAGCCCGAGAAAGTTCACTGAGAGGACTGAGGTGCCTGGCGGGGGCAAAGGTTAGCGTTGTCCTTATCTGGGATGGATTTGTCCTCGTCACCTGTTTCTGTACCACTTTCCTAGGTGCCCGACTCCAACAACGTGAGCTGTAGGGCCTACGAAAGCGTTTATTTTTGTCCTAAGGGGAGAGACTTAGGTAGGAACAACTAATCCCTTGGACATCCACTACCCGCGATAACACAGATAATGTTGTTTGGGTAGAAATAATTGGCTTTACTTATCTAAGATCTACAGGAAGCCCAGTATTCTTGCAACAAATCTGACACACATCCTAATTCTGAAGGCGAACGCCATTAGAGAGACATCATAGGGGAAACTGGGTGATTTCATGTAATGCAAAGTAACAGGCGCATGCAATCCCATACAATGTCAAAACTATAACATGTTTAATTAAAAGAATAGATAGGTAGAGAATTTGCTGGTGCAAAGAGAAAAATAGACACAACATTCATGAAAGACAAATCTGGATCAAAGTAACCTAATTCCGTAAAATAATGGGATGTCTCGCACAACTGCAAATGAGTCGTGAGCGACCACAGTCAAATAGGAGCCTATAAATAAATCTGGCAAACACTTATACGTTAGCAGACGGCAAATATTTTGAATCAAATCCTACTGTAGCGTCAAAAATGACGTATCTTGCATGGTGGACAGTAAAAGGCGAAAAAGCAATAATGAATGAATATATCTTTCGCCAATTTCGATATTTAGGTGTAAGAATCTTGTCAGCAGTATTCAGATTGCCTAGATAAGATAACGGTTAGTTTAATCCAACGCTTTGTGCGCCATAGCCTTTTTGTTCATTTAATGTGCACTTAAACTTAGGATCTCTGGCCCATTTCGCGAGAACAGGCAAGTTGTAACCTATTATCCTGAGCAGTTATGTGCGCATAAATCCGATAGTTTTAATAAAGTGACCTTTGGCGTATCAATGCCTACATGCTCTGCCTATATGCTAAGCGTTTACAAGGAGGTGTGGGCTAGGTGCAGTTGGAAGCAAAATTGGCCCAATTATGACTAATTTTGTATAGAACGTGCTAGATTTGCACTCGATTATTTGAAGATCAGAAACAAACAAGTTCAAGGGAGTGTTGTCGGGTTCACTCGCAAGTCACAGTGAGCATGTACAATCGCGCCATGGGGATCAGGATTACGTTCGTATTTTCCTTGAAAATCAGCAATTAGTATAAAACAATTCTTCACAATACAAATTGTATGAGCTTTCGCAATTTCTACACATTGGAAGCGGTGTAAAACTTCGGATTAATGACCAAGACTGTTGGTTTGTCTGCCATTAGTGAATACACATGCATTTCAAACTACGTATTTTGAATTTCGCAGTTGTGTTCTAGGAAAAATCGCCTCGAATCGAAATCTAGACGTCTCCGGCCGTACTCGCTGCAAAATCTTTTTAGGGGGCATGCAAGTAATTGACAGTTGTAATCCTAAATTGCTCCCTTAACTCGTGTTCTGTGCATGCGTTGAAAAACCTACGTTGTCCACTGCCTACAGTCGATGTGAAAGTGACCACTGCCACTTTGTGTTTATAGAGAGAACTTTTCTCCCGTTAAACTGATTTATACTTTCCATTCATTTTGGATTACATTGAGTTTCTGATCGGCCTCGAAATATTGCTGAATACTTCATGATTTTCAGTGTTTTCACCCAATCGCCCATGAAGACAGATTCTGAGTTACCTGTCTCTTGAGAAACTTAAAATAAGATTGTTCTTGAAGGCCTTTACCGAACAAGTAAGTTTTCAAACGCTCCTTTTCAAGAATGTGTTCGTTTGGGTCACATGTGTAGACTCGTTAAAGATCAAACTTTATTTTCGAGAAAAATAATTGCCCACAGCAGAAGTAACGACGAATATGCCTTGGATCATAAAAAACTTTCTTTAACAAGTTATCACTTTAGGAAGTGCTTTATAACTGCACTCTTTCGACGGATATCTGTGTACTTTGCATTTTTGTACGGCGTGGCCAAGTAGAAATTTGACACTTTTGACGGTTTCTTTCCTGTCTCTAAACAATAGTAATATTTCTCTACCGTAAACGCAAGCACATGTCTTTCAATATGCAATGAGGCCATTTCACTGTTTTTTCTCGCTTTTAGACTCCGTTCGTCGATCGTGAATGCACGGCAGAACGCCAACACAAATATTAATATAAATAAAGCTAAACATGTTTTGCTCGTTTGAATTCTGAAGAAGTATGTACAGAAGCTTAAATTATAGAAAAGCAGCGTGTCATATGTTTAAAGCTATAAATGATCATTTCGTGGTGGTCATCTATGTAACTTTAGGTAGACTTCTACAAACGGCAAAAAACTGTCAGCACACTTAAACGAAGGAATCGCTATCTGCGTTATTATTGCAGTTTAGGACACTAATTTGCACATATTTGCTAACATGACATTTAGGAATTGATAAAACTTCTTGGTTTCTTAAAATACCATTTTTAGAAGATTGGTAACCATGAAATAAATTTTATAGTCCGGCTTAATCTGTTTATTAAAACTCTCGAGAGTAAATGACTATATTTCAATAAAAAAATGTCTGTTAGATGCGTAACTGGAGTCTACGACATGTAGTAGCATAGGACATTTCACAAATATATTCCAACGTCTATTTTCGCTATAATTTTCTGATATTTCACTTGAAATAACTATGCAAACACAATTTCTGAACAAGAAAAGGACATTTCAATGAAGAAAGCAGATGAGCGAACCAAATGGGCCAGGTTAAAGGCGCCAGACAATTCTCTGTTCAGTTAATGTTATCAGATTTGTTGAGATAGGTAACATATTGTTAGTTGTTTTTAAATTAGTAAGAAATGAAGGGAAAGTGTATAAGTAACTATATACGCGTAAATTCGATTGTTTCACTTTTAATTAAAGGAGCTTTGCTTGTTTTATTAGTATAGATTTTTATCCTCAATTAGCGATCTAAAAAACGTTTGACATTATCAAAAGATGTGACATATACTTATATTTTCGGCAGGTTTTTAACAAAAAAACATATTTTTATTCATGGTTTCTATAAAATATACTTGAATTTGCAAAAACATCAAAAATCAATGAGGAAAATACATGCGAATTATGTAGTCATTTTTTACCCAGCACACTTTCTATAGGAGATTCAAAAGAAGTGCATTTAAAAGCCCACATCCTGCCGAGTCCGAAAAGTTATAAGATTATGCCGCGGTCAAGATATCCTTCCTAATCGAAAACGCATTTTATAATCTCAGCCATCATTTCATGAAATAGGTCACTTACTGTAGTTGTGATTTTCTATAGGTATGCGAAAGCATGGCGACTGCAATCTATAAATACTGCACCCCCTTGTGCATGGCCCAACCGTACATGCTACTGTCTCTGATGATGGTTTCGCACAGAAAACTGAAATGTCAGCCGAATAAGGCTGTTGTTTCAATGATGCTGTCTCCTTCTTCGTTTGTAGTAAGTCCGTCGTACAAATGCTTCCCAGAATCGGTTAAAAGGTATCGACTTAAAAAGGCCAAGCACAAAAGATTTATAAAGTAATTGCTCTGTTGGTAGATTTGAATAATCCATTCGTCCTAACTGGGAAAAACTTGACAGCCTCAGTTGAACGCGAAACCGCCTTATCAGGGACAGAGCTTGAATACAGCAAGATAAGGGGTCCCACTGGATCACTTTCCTCCATCCAACCTAATGCAACGAATGAAATCCATCATTAGGGGCGCAGCAGGTTAACCTTCAAAGCAACATTTCCTGAGTAATCAATCTACAGTCCACAATATATCTACCGGACTTGGTTAATAGATTAGTTTTTGGCAGATGTGAATGACTTATTTGACTCATGGAACTCGTGTGCCCTCGAACATCAGGAAGTTAACGCGTCGAGTGCACGCAAGTCTTGGCCTTACTGCTGCGATTTTCCATTGCCACTACGATCGCCGTATTTTTCCAAAATGGATGGTATGACTTGTTTATCAAGGATGGACGATCAACTTAAACCACGCGCATTAGATTTATTTCCTCTAATGTCAGAAATCAGGAAGCTGTGAGGAATAGTTTGTTCTGTACACAACATCGAAAGATCCGTTGGTGCACGATATTGAGAAATTCTTAGCCCATAGTAGTTGTTTGTAGCCAACGACGAAGGTACTATTTCCAGTATAAATTTTGCGTGGGCAATTGGGGTAAGTGCTATTCTAAGCACCAGTCAACGCAAATTATTTCGATGTAGATTTTCCAAACAACGGTTTCCTGCCAAAACATGAAACAATATCCGAAAAATGAAGACTTTATCCGTGCCATGACCTTTGAGTTACAGGCTACTTGTAGTTGAGTTTTCCCAAGTTATACGGCATTTTTCGGGAATGCTGGTGACTGTTGTTGCGTAAATAAATAAAGCGGAATATAACTGTCTGGAGTCTTCTCTAATCATTCCTCTCATCTACCGAAACGCATTAATCTGATGAATTGTTTTACCGATCAGGGTTGGTGGATAATTTTATGCTTATTGCACCTTCCTTGAAGTGGCTCTGTCACAAGCAGCCATCATGACTGTGTGGTGTCCTTGTCCAACGCCTCGCTGTCTCAAGGATATTCAGCCCTCCCTGTGAACCGTTCCAGACAAACTGACCTGAAGACTCTCGACTGACTTATGCTCGAACACGACATGACAGTTCGACAGTCGATTTCGACGATATCCCCTGTGTGCTGTACAGACTGGCGTGCAGTTGACACGGTGAATTGCGCCTGAGTTTTTTTTATAGTGATAGTAGACTCGAGCAGGATATACCGCACTCATTCCTCCCAACTCCCCACCTGTAGCCGCTGTCAAGACAGTGTTAAGAAGACCGGATGCGGGTGAGGGCGCAGGCGGATGCTACGGTCGGGTTAGCACCTTGGCGTTATACTCCACGCTCTCTGGTTCACTGAGCTAATGACCAAGTATTTTGACCAACAACACCCCAGCAGGGGTCAGAAGGACGAAGATGACTGGACAGCCGTGTCCATCATCTGCGTACTCAGTGGGAGCGCACGCGCATCTGCCGGCAGGTAACCAGGTGACAGCGAACTGCCAGTGCATACCAGACGGCGAAGGCCATGGATTGCTGATACGGGCATAGCACACGCTTGCATATTTTTTGATTAGCTTGGATATACTTGCGTTTACACAGTTTCGGCTGCCTATGCCGCCATTTGAGCGCATCTTCGCCACTGCAACCACAACACAAGCCACTTCAACTCCACTCCTGGCAAAACGCAACATGCTGCGATTGGAGACCACTTGGCCTATGTTCACGAGTCTACAAAAGCGTCTGCCACCATCCCGAAGCCACTACAGTTCCACTAAAATCAATGAATCCTACGTGATACGCGATCTACTCATGGTCCGGCAAAATAAAGCGCCTGTTTCTGGCGTTATTTATCAGAAATATGGTGGAAATATTTCTCCAAATAAACAGTCATCTTCTCTGAACCCTGCAGAAAATCCTGGGCAACAATCCCGATGGTCTCAGAACCCATGATTCGTCTCCTAAATGTCCCATAGAAAGGAAAAACATTATTAACTGTCGCTCGTAGGGTCTCCAGATGATGGTGGACTGTGAGGGATGCAGGAAACAAAGGCAGTAAAACAATGCTTCGTCGAGCACACATTACGATAAACTGGTGTTGACTGTTATGCTTACGGTAGGTGCTCGTCTCGTTGTGCCATGTGTCTCAGACAGAACTTTCGCAGGCAGTCGTACAGCATCCTGTAGTAGGGCAAATGAGGTGGTGCCGAAAAAGATAAGGGAGACTGGAATGAACATTTCTGGCTTATTAGCCGTTGTCAGCCGAAATGTAGATCATTTGAGATTCGAACCCGCAATCTTTGGTCATCGTATGAAACAACACCCACCGATGTTGTGATCGTTCTAATGAAATAGGCATTTTTCACTGAGTGTGTGCTGACTGAATGGGTGTTGACTGATACGCTGACGAGATGTTTGTCTTTTTAAATTCATGCCCATCTTATCCATTTTGATTTAAGAAAAGGCCTCTGACATCCGGATCGATATTTACGAGAGTGTAGATGAACTTTGGGACTTAACTTAGAACGCAACTCGTTGCAAGGAGTTAGGGACGTCAAAAAATAGCAAATTGCTATATGTGCACATTTAAGGACACATGAATTGTTAACTGGAAACCATGCTATGTGGCAGTGTCATGGTAAGTGACAGTAGAGCCCTTCTCCGATCTTAATACCCTAGCATATTCGGTAAGCAAATGCCTCCTACAGAGTTGCAGTGGTCTCGTAACAGCAGTAAACTGTTAACATGAACCATCGGGGTAACAGCGGTTGTGTGTCATTGCGATGCGTATTGCATTATTTATCCAGCTACTTTTTTCAAATTTCCGGGGATGCAGATATAGCTAAATCCACAGTCAAAGCATTCAAACTTGTCACCAGCACGGCATGGCTTAAGTGCCTCATTGTGTCGTAGGATATGACGGCAGATTTTTGTCAGATGAGAAGATGCACATGTAAAATTCCGTTACAGTTGCAGACAAATGAAGACGGAGTAAGAAGTTCTGGCTCTTTAACCATCATCGGCCGACCAAACCCAACCAAGAAGTGTGGAAGACCTGATGCCCGATCCTGCGACCTGTTGTTGGAGAACCCAATGTTCGTATCACTGAGCCGCTGATTCATTGGGATCAGTGTTCGCCTATGCGCTTCCCGCGCAGTTATTTACTCGGGTTAGTCGAAGCCTCAGAACCGAGGATGCAAGGGAAAGGTCAATGCCCTTGTTAGCAGACTGCATGCAAGTGAAGTATGACTTAAGAAGCTCGTGGCTCAGGCGGCCGTCATCTCTAGCAAGGATATAGACAGTGCTGACAAGTGACGCCGGCTGCCATGACGTCGGCATTGCATTTCGTAACAAAGCGAAAAACACAATGATGAGAAAATAGCATGGAAAACAGCTTTGGTAAAAATCGTGTAGTCAGATTGTCTGACTATTTTGTAGTGTTTAATTGTTTCTCCAGGAGTATACATAGTTCTGACACAACTGTTGCTTATTAAGAAGTAGAATGTGTTTTCCGTTTGACACAAACCGCCATCTCCTTATGCGCTAGTTGGCAAATTGTCCAAATGTATTTCAAGGCTCATTTTAGCCAAAATTGTA